AACAAAAGCAAAAACAATTAGCAGAAAGAAAGACAGAAACAGGGTAGTATACCATATTACATATGTTACAGATTTTCAAAACAAAAATAGCTAATTAACAATGGTTGTTATATTACTATTTTTATCATCAAGTCTGTTAATCACATTAACAAATATAGCTATGCAGTATTGGGCAAATAATTGAATATTAACATTTGCTTTCAATAAATTTTATTTTAAAAATAATTAAAAATTATTTTTTAAAATTTATTTTAAAGAGAGTACCATAATGATTGTTAAGACAGTAGAGACAGTATACATTTGAGAAAAAGAGGAGAGGCAGTCAGCCAAGCTTTTTATTTTACACATTGCTGTCCTTGGTGTTGTTGCTTAGTTTGAAGATATCAACATACAGAGTTAGTCAAAGTGAAAATTCTAAACATTAATGGCGATTTTCAAAAAACTGATATAAATTATTAGGTATAATCATGTCAGCCATCCTGTATGTATACTTGCATGATTTTCCCTTCTTCCTTTCCTATCTTTTCTCTTTTCCCTCATCTTTGTCTTTTAATCCTTATATTCAGTTTCTTATTGTTTTACTATATCTATCATAATTTTCAGAATTTATTTCTTTTTTCAGATTATTTTTTACTTCTTTTTTTTTCAGAACTGGGGTTTGAAGTCAGGCCCTTGCACTTGCCAGGCAAGGACTTATGCTGAGCTATCTCCCTGGCCCCTTCAGGATTTTACACTAGGGAGACAATATGCTATTTACACATGGGGGTCTGATTTATTTTACTTATGAGTATAGCCTCTAGTTATATCCACTTACCTATGAAGGCCTCAAATTTGTCTTTCTTTATAACTGAGTAATACTCCAAAATTTATATGCTATAATGTGCATGAATAGTTTATATATTTTAATAGTTTGTATGGTACTATAAATAATCTACATATACATAGTGTTTATGTGTTATATAAAACAATCTTGTATGTTGCAATTATATAATACATTGCACATTAATATACATTCCAATAGTATATAATATATGTGTTATATAGTCTGATAATATACAGTATTTTTGTCATTATATAGTACTTTTAATTATAAGTAGTACACATTAAATAATTAATATAGTTATACATTTATTGTTTCTACATTTTACATATATTATCTATTCATGTATAACATCTAAGTGTTATGCATTATAAATATGTAGTTTGTATACTGACTATCGTAATTTATATAGTACAAATAATTTTTTTAAACTATGCAAGTATATAGTATAAATAATTCCTAGCTTTATTTAATATAATCCTTCATGTACTTTTTGGAATAAATACAATACCAACTTACCCATCCCAGTAAAACACCTGAAATACCTCCTAGAGATAGCCATGTCTGAGAAACACTCTGATCTAGCAGCATTGCATTGGAGTTTGAGCCACGTTGGACACAGAATCTCTAATAATAGTACTTTTATCTGCTGCTTTTTAAATGACTTCCCATTTTATTGTTCCTCCAATCTTATTTGAATAAAAGTTTAATCTCTGTACATCCCTCAGACAGGCAGCTTGTTTTCAAGAAAGGGAAGTGAGGCTTATTGCATTTCTTACTTTTTGATCCTGCAGATAACAGTTTTTTTTCTTTTCTTTGTGACTTGGCTGGGTTAGGATGGGAAAAGACTCAAGTGTCAGATGCCTGAGCCCACATTTTTAAGGGTGAAGTTGTTTTAACACACAACTGTTCAAAGCAGGCCTTGATATCCTAGTTTAGTCACTGTTGCTAAGGAGTTCTATTTGAATTTTAATATGCAGTGTATTTTTTCTTCTCTGTCATAGCAGGCACAGTAATATACTCTTCCTCAGGATGCATTTTCTAAAATCAAACTTAAGATGCCAAGTGTGTTCAATAAACAAGAAATTATCTATTCTCTAGTGTTCTGGGAGGTAAGACCTAATGAAGAAAGAAGATATTTATTCTCCAATGAAAAGAAAGCTTCATTTTGATGACAGCATATTCACTACACATTGCAAAATACAACCCCCCAAAAAAAGAAGTTGATGACAATGCTGCTGCTGAATCTGTAGTCTTTTGAAATGACGTCTTTTGCGTCAGTTCAAAGTTATATTTTCTGTAATGCTGGAAGGCAGTCTTCCATGGGTTGATCAGTCCCTTACTGTTGTTTAATGTGCCCCAAATACCTGATATTAAGCCATTTTTCAGGGGGAACCACCTTGAAGTAAAAGATACATTTCCCCATAGAATAAAAAGCAGATTTATTTAGTGTTCCTTATAAAGGAAACAGGTTCCCTTGGCTCAGTATTTCAGCCCTGTACTGTGACTCCCATTGTGGATGGTGTCATTTGAGCCTTTGTATCCATCCCCAGTGCCTGGGAGGAGCTGTAGCAAACATGACAGAGCTGGTGCTCCTACTACTTGCTGAACTGAGCTCTTTGTTTTGGACTCAAAGTCTCCTGTCTTGTACTAGCAGCCAAGAAATAGAAATAGAGCAACTTTTTAGCTCAGTGATACCATTGCCATGGTTTGGATCTAAAATGACCTGAAACCATGTGGCTCAGTCCTCTGCTTGGTCCTTGGCCTGATGCTATTGTGAAGTGGTGGGACATTTTGGAGGTGAGGGTGAGTGGCCTGAAGTGGGTCTCTAAAGGCAAGCCTTCAGGGTGGATGCTGGGACCCTGGCTCCCTTTGGTCTCTGTCCTTGTGCCGCCACCAGGAAGCCAGCAGCTGCTTCCCAGTGCACAGTCTGTCCTAAGGCCAAAGCAATCAGTGTTGGGTCTCGGTGAAGAGAAGGTAGCTAAAGTGCCAAGGATGGAGTTAAATCTCAGGCCCATCTCTACAGTGAATGTGCAATTCTGATAGGCATCATATTCTAGAGGAGAAAGAGACCTTGAAATTAAAGCTCAGATTTCAGATTAGAATCCTGGGATTTAATGTAAAATGTCTTTAACTGATTGGTGGGAAAGGGGAAGACCATATAGACTTCCATTTTTCTAGTTTGTCATAAGAATGGATATCAACAAGTAGTATTCAACCAAGCTGCCTAAATGGAGCCTTGATTCTGAAGAGAAGAAGGAAGAGATATAATAATGGGAGATCAAGCCCTACAGGCCTGGTTGAGAAAGATTTTAACTAATAGTTTGGAACACCAGTGTTGTCAACCGTTATAGTACCTTTCTTTAAAATATGACATGAAATGAATCCTACGCAAAGGGGTCTGTTTGATTGAGTTGTGACATCAGTCATGTCTCACCAAACCAATAGTAAATGTGAAGTCTTGCTTGACAGCATTAAGGAATTTGTTTCTAGTACTTGCTGACTCATCCTTCTCCTTCTTCCTTGCCTTCTCTCTAAGGAGAATGATTTTCAGGGATGAGCCAAGATCTATCTCCTCAGAAAGGATAAAAGGCAAATTCTTTTGTTCCAGTACATTGGGGAACTTCAAGGAAGGGTAGTGCATCAGTCATCTTATCTATTGCTGGGGCATGATAACTGACACTTAGCTTAAAGGAACAGATGTGATTTTTGCTCATTATTTGAGAGTTTTTCAGTCCAGGGTAAAATGGTTCCAAGGCAGAAACATGAAGAAAAGGTGTGGCAACATGGAACCAGAGCAGGGCAGCAGCACTGGAGGGGAGAAGGTGCAGAACCAGATATAAACTCCCAAGGTCATGCTTTCATGATTCACCCAGAGGTGTGCTCCACCAATTCCTTAAATGGATGCCAAAGCCAATCAAGTTGTCATTCAACCCTAATTACTATAGGTATTTAAAAGTTAATGATTTTACTGGATCCATGTACAAAGGTCATTATCTTAACTAGTCTGTTGGGAAGAAAATGAACTTGAGTTTAAGCGACATAGTTTGGGCAAATGTTACAACAGGATGTAGATGCTAAATCCCCTTATGGTGGATGCTTCAGTTACTCCGAAGCATTGTTGTGATGGCTCTGCCATTACACATATCATTTAATTTATAAGTTATGTACTTGTATTTCTCTTGTGATAAGTGTTAGAGAAAATTCTGTTCAAGAACCACTACAGGAGGAAATGAGAGAGTGGGACAGATAGACAAGGTCCATCCTCCTTCCCAGCTTAGTTTTCTCTTTTGCAACACAGCTCAGTAATATTGAGGATGCAATGTTGAGAATGGAAAATCAGTCTTAGTTGAAGACTTGATGATTACTGCACTTTTATAGACTGAATTAATTGCAATTTTCTCTCACTCTCCAAAGGTGGCACACCTTTACCTGACTGCTATTAAGATAGCTGAATAAACTTGCCATTGCTCACACTGACAGAAAAATCTTTTGTTTTTTCTTTTGTATTTAGTACAGGCTCTACAGGGTCTCACTATGTAGATTGAACTCGTAGTGATCCTCCTGTTTTTCAGCCTCCCAAGCATTGGAATTACAAGTGTGCACCACCCCACTCCATGCTGGCATGGCAAGCCAGGGATTGAACCCCGGTCCCTGCATTCTGCCTAAGCAGGCACTTTAGTCTACTGAGCTATCTGACAGGCCCAGTAAAATCTTTATAGGTCAAAGATTAAGTTCACCCAGTAGGAACATAGGTATGACACTGCACTGATGTTCTCATTCTCTGAATAGCTGTTTGATGCACTCTTACATCTGCGCACAGTTCACACAAATGGTATTAACCATGGCCCGAAGCATAGTTCAGGGCTATACTACCTTGGTTACATTCCTAAAATCACTGGGTCTGTCAAGAACAGCTGAATCTCTGACACAGTCAAGAAATTTCTGTTGATACTCTCAGCATCCTCAGCATAAGTGAAAGCCCACATTTAGAGCTTTGGGGGTTCTAAGGAGAATATATTCTCTATGTAAAATTTTCATTTAAATTGTGCCATTACATGTAAGTTGACCCATCTTCAATGGTTCTTCCTTCACAAAAAGTTTTAAACTTTGTCCAAATTGTCACAAGCATTGTGTTAGTAATGTCACCAGAAGAAACACCTTTGCTATGGAGGTTCCAGCACCTGCCTATAGCACCTATACTGAAACTGTAATGATACAGACAAAATTAGCATGACCTCCGCGCAAGGGTGACATGAAAGGTCGTGAAACATTCTATATTTTTTTAAAGCAGAGCCCATGAAAATAAAAATTTTGGAGTTTGATCTTTTTTATCAGGTTGAAATTTCTTAGACTTCTACATATGAAAGTTTTCAACTAGCAATTTGAGCAAGAATGTAATACTTCTGCTCTTCTGACAACACATACTGTTTCTTATAAAGCTATTCTTTCATCAGCAACATTAATAAAGGAATACAGAGAAAGAAGAAACCACAATAATTAACCCTGCACAATTCCCTGATAAATTGAAAGCAATAGAATATCTGGAGCCAGGTGTTCTGGGCACTATTATCACACAAGATGAATACACTGGAAAGAAAATGGCACTTTGCCAGGCTCCAAGAATAGTGCAGAAACATTTGATGTTTATTGATCAAAACAGAGTTATGCTTAAATGTTTCTTCTCTTTGATTGAAATTGTGGTAGATTTTTTAAGAATGTATTTAGTACAAGGTCTCCAGGGTCTCACTACACAGATTAGACTTGTAGTAATCCTCCTGTTTTCAGCCTTCCAAGCACTGGGATTATAGGCTCATTCCACCATGCCCAGTCTCATTCACCATCTCAGGATGCCCCAGGGATGGGGCTGGCATGGCAAATGGATCAAAGTCCAGTTCCCTGTGCTTGCCTAAGTAGGCACTTTAGTCCACTGAGCTATTTGGCCAGCCCTTGTGGTAGATTTTTATGACTCTTTGAAATCTTTGTTTTCTGGATATGCTAGCTTCAGTTAGGAAGATACAGGTTGCCAGACTGCAGAACTTGTAATAATGAGTGTTCTCCTGAATGGAAATATTGTAAAGGAGCTAGTAACTATTGTACATAAAGAAAAAGCATGTCCTATTGGAAAAAGCCGTATGTGAATGTCTAAATGATCTATTCTTAGGCAGATGTTTTAGATAGCAATTTAAGCTGCTTTTGAAAGTAAAATCATTGCACCAGAAACTGTGAAATCCTGCAGGAAAAAGGCCTTGCAGAAATGTTATGGTGGCAATATTACACAAAAAAATGAAACTTTTGAAGAGACAAGCAGAAGGAAAAAATGAGGAAAATTGTCAACATTGAAGTTCCAATAGATGCTTTTATAAAAGTTTTAAAAACACAATTTGATAAATAATTCAGAATTTCCATACCTTCTGAAGTCACAGGCCCAGCCTCATGATCGTAAGTTACCCCTGATTTCTGATATAAGACATTCTGCTCCAAACTCCAGGGTACATGCCATTAGAGTGGTGACTGCTGGCTCATACTGGGCTTGTCTGGAAACTCTCACAAGGCCTGAGCCCCTGGAACCTCATACCCAGCTGCGCATTTTGTGTTGGGTGGTGGAAGCAGCTCTAGAAAAGCTTAGCATGCCAGGTGAAGTCTCGTGCTACAAGATGCAGCCAGCCCTGCCAGCTGCCGAATTCCACTTGCAGAAGGTAGAGTCTGTCATATTCTCGATCCTTCACAGGACACAATGATGTTCATGAAGACTGCCCATCTCCCACCCGCTTTGACTTTATGGAGCCCCATAGGAACAACGGAATGATCAAAAAAGGCAATGTGTGGATTTTGCACGTAGCATTACATTACTGTCCTCACACATGTCACATATTTCCTTCTTAGAGTTCATGGTGCTGGGTTTTTGGATGACATGTTTGTTGGAAATTTTACCTGTCTTACGTGCTTCAAGCTGCAGGCTTCACAGAGTACCATAATGTCTCTTTAAAGCAAATTTGCATGCCATTAAATTTAAAAAATGACACACTTTATTCATAATCAAACATGAGTGGTCAGTTGTATTGTCATCATTTCTTAGTGTTTCTCGAAGGTTAAATTTCAGTTCCATCTTTCCATCTTCCTTTCCTGCTCTATTTCTGGACAAGAGTGTAAGAAGGATGAGGTCATTTCCTTGGCCTGCATGACTTTAAAACTTATGTGGGAGCCCTGCCACAGACTCACTCCTTAACCAAAGTAGAAACTCGTGTGAGGCTTCTTTTCCTGTCTTTCAAGCCCATTTCCCAACCTCCTGGGAACTTCCCTGCTTCCATCACTGAAGGACTCGTTATATGGACAGAAAATGTTTCCATAGTTTCTTGGTTTGTGGAAGAATCATCAGCCCCAATATCTGAGTGAAATATGAGTAAGTTTCATTTTGTTTCTGAGAGATGGTTAAGGAACTTACTTTGCTAGGCTTATGATCCTGCCAAACTTGTGCTATTATTCTTGGGGCAATGAAGGGACCGCCTTTCAGAAGGGTACTATCCCCACTGGTTCTTGTCATGTTGAATGTACTGGACCTTTAATTTTATTCATGCTATGACTTGGTCCTCACTGATGTTAATTCTTTCATGTTATAACTACTGTTTTAGAATGAATGTTTGGCTCTAGTGACTGTGTGTGTGTGCATCATGCAGGTAATAAAATTATGTCTTTGCATACATCTATTCCTGTATGTTTCTGTATGTACTTTATGAAAATTAAAATTAATGCAATGTTATATTGATGTGCTCCTAATGTTTCTTCAAATTGGATTTTTTACTGGATATTTGAAATGATTAACATAGCTCAAAAATGAGAAATGTGCATGTCTGTAAGAAATGAATATGATTTTTGGAATTTTGAAATTTTTTAGCTTGGAGGAGGGATCAATTCATGGTTGTGGTCTTGCTCTGTAATTGAAATTTGACTTGACTCATTATGTAGCCTAGGCTGGCCTCCAACTCAAGGCAACCTTTCTGCCTCAGCCTACAGAGAGGTGAAATTACACGTGTGTACTTTCAGAACTGTCCTGTGAAGCTTATTACTTTTTCAGTGTCAGCAGATAGTCATATCCCTAGTTTAATCATAAGGACACATAATACAAATCCAACATGAGGAATAGCATGCAAAATACTTGAAGGATATACTTCATAACCCAGGCAGGAAAGAGCAAATTTCTTCTTTGCTGTCCATTTAATGATGACACGAGATGCTCATAATGTCCTGGTGACAATCTTAGCATCTGATTCCGTAAATAATTGTTGAGTCCCCTGGTATTAGGCACCAAGATCTCCAAATTGTCAAAGCCCAAAATTTCAAGGATAGAAGGAAAATGTTGCAGTGGAGTATCAGATGTAATTATGAGGGAAGCTGTTCCTATTTCCACCCTTTTATCACTAGATACAAAAGCTCTTTCTGTCCTGCACAGCACTTACTCAACAGATGACTTTAGAGGTTCCAAACTAGGCACAGTGGCACATGCCTACAATCTCTCAACTACTCAGGAGAATGGGGCAGGAGGATCACAAGCTTGAGGCCAACCTAGGCAATTAGGTGAGATCATGTCTCAAAAATTCAGTTTATAAAAGACCTGTGGAAGTAGCTCAGTAGTGCACTGCCTGCCTCACTTGAATGAAGTTCTGGGTTCAACCCCTAATATCACATACACATGCATATACACATGCATATACACATGCACACATTAACAACAACAACAACACTGACACCACCACCACCACCACCAACAACAACAACAACTATAGACTCCCTAATGGCCTTATTAAATTGTGTAAGGCTGGATCTTTTGGAAGGAAAAGAGCTTCATTTAAGTCACAGTCCTCGAGGTGCAGGGTATGATGCTAGTCTCTGGTGAAGACCTCTGTGGATGATTGCACAATGGTAGGAGCAAAGGCCAGAAAAAGAGATCACAGGATAAGACAGGAATGCAGTGTGCAAATAAGGCCAGGCCTGTTCTTCCAACTCACTCTCAAGAAAACAAGAGTCCCACAAGAACTACCTTAGGTCTTTCTAAGGGTGATGCTCCAATTGACCTCTCATTATACTTCATTTCTTAAAAGATCCAACTACCTCTTAACTTTACCACACTATTGATCAGTGTGCTTCTAGACCTTTGGGGGGCACACAACTTTCAATCCATAGCACAAATCTAACTTGGAAGTTCCCTGCAGCCTAAATGTTTTCCACCTCCTCTGTCTGGCACCGAGGCTCAGAACTACACTGTAATCCTACAGCTCTGCCTGAGCCTCCTGGCTTCATCTCATTTCCACATATATTTCTCCCAATAAATTTTTACATGTCTAATCATGTCTCACTCACTGCTTCTCATGCAATATATACTAACATAAAAGGGAGGATATTAACATAATTAAAATTTAACAGCTTTGAAAATTCCACAAAGGTAGAAATACATATTTCTGTGGAGGAGGTTCTGCTGAGCTGTTAATAGTGCCTTTGAGTGGGCAGGAGAAACTCCCATAATTCTTTGACCTATAACTCCAAATAGGCACTGGCCCCAGTAACATGTATGTTGGTGGATACTCTAAGGCAGGTTCTGCAGTGTCACATGAAATACAAAACTATTTATTACTGTAGAAATGAATGAAAAGTTCTCCTGCCATGATGAAGAGTTAACGCTGGGTGATAGTCACAGAAAAAGCAAAGTCAGTGTCACCAGGAGGACACATTGAGAAGAGAGTCCTTTCTTGATCCTCTAACTCTGCACCTCCCTCTTGCACAGTATATCTACAGATGAACAGAGAAGTGGCAGAAAGCAGGGATGTGGTTTGCAGAGTCTGTCTATAAAGCAATAATGAAGAGAGAACTTGTAGATAAGAAGCAGCTTAACATAAGAGATGTTGCTTAAAGACAACCCAGGGTAGTTTGTGATGGGGCTAGTGAACTCTTCAGATTCATACAATGGTGTAAATTCTATATTTTTCTTTTCTTCTTTTTAAAGGAACCTGTAGTATTATATTATTTTGTGCTAGAAGTTTCTATTCTCTCTTGGATTCATGTAGTTATTTCTTCTTGTAAAAATTGCATTTCTTTTTTTTTAACATATAGGAAGATTTGTGTTTCTGGAAAGGATTTTAAAAAATTAAAGGATAATACATTTTTGAAGAACTGTGGGGTACATTGCACACCATTACAAACTGTGATTCATGAATGCTCGCCTGTGAGCATTTGGCTCATGAGCAGAAGCATTTGCCCATCATCTGCTTCCGCCTTTGAACTCCAAACCAG